GTGCAAGCGTTTGTATGAGATCACGTGTGCTAGTAAAGCTGCTTTTAATCATGTCTCTAAGTCATTGGATAACCTTACTCAATGGGCAATTGAGTTCTCAAGGGAGAGAATGGATACCAATGCACCTGCAAAACCTCCAGCACCCCTTCGAAGTGAGAAAGACCCAAAAATTGGGAAGACCAAGGGGACATTCAAGTCAGCACGAAGTGCATCGAGGAAACCGTAAGAAAGTGTTCGACATGTGGAAAATTTGGTCATTTTCGCCCTAATTGCCCGAAAAAAGTCTCAAAAAAATATCTTAAATTTCTTCTATTGTTTTTTAGGAGTTTATTTTATGTAACTATGATGTTAGTGTTTTATTTTCTAATTATCTTCATAATTTATGAGTTAGTTAATTGTTGGTTGAAATAAACAAATACATTAAATACGGTCGACCTGCTACAAGACACGGTCGACCAGACCATATGAGGTCGACCTATTATAATACTGTGTCGACCATTTACCTATTCGGCTGACCAAACCAGTTAGTATGACAACATCAGCCCAAACCTTATCCTTCCATCCCTTATTTAAGAACCTCCTGCACTCATTCTCTACCACAACCAAAACCCTATCCTTCCATTCCCTATTCTTCCTCTCATTTCCCTTCATCTTCTCCAATTTCAAAAATCCCATAGGAGAAGCACCAAAACCTCCATTCTATTTCATCCCCATCTACTAATAAGAAGAATAAGGTGGGTATTTCAATCCTCCTTTCATTTGTTGCGAGTTTGTTGTCTTTATTGGTAGATTAGATTGTTTTTACAAAAATCTAAAGCTGAAAAATGGAGATTTTTGTATGTTGTTCGCCAGAATCGATCGACCTAGTCTTCTTCATGGTCGACCGGATCTGAGGTCGACCTATAATGTTTCTGAGGTCGACCTATGACGTTTCGTACTCCAAATGTTACGCGTTCGCTTCGATCCATTCTCAATTTTTTATGATCTGATGTCGACCTGTGATGTTCTTGAGGTCGACCTATAATGTTTTGATTCCAAATGTTACGTGTTTGCTTCGATTCATTTTTCGTTTTTTATGAACTGAGGTCGACCTATGATGTCTCTAAGGTTGACCTATTCTAGTTTTTTATCAACTGAGGTCGACCTATAATGTTTCTGAGGTCGACCTATGACGTTTTGCTATCCAAATGTTACACGTTTGCTTCTATCTATTCTCGTTTTTTTATGAACTGAGGTTGACCTGTGATATTGTTGAGGTCGACCTATGATGTTTTGCATTCCAAATGTTACGGGTTTGCTTCAATCCATTCTCATTTTTTATGAACTGAGGTCGACCTATGATGTCTCTTAGGTCGACCTATTCTAGTTTTTTATAAGCTGAGGTCGACCTATGACGTTTTGCACTCCAAAATGTTACATGTTTGCTTCGATCCATTCTCGTTTTTTATGAACTGAGGTCAACCTGTGATGTTCTTGAGGTCGACCTATGATGTTTTGCATTCCAATGTTACGCGTTTGCTTCCATCCATTCTCGTTTTCTTATGAACTGAGGTAGACCTATGATGTTTCTAAGGTCGACCTATTCTAGTTTTGGATAAGCTGAGGTCGACCTATGATGTTTCTGAGGTCGACCTATAACGTTTTGCACTCCAAATGTTACGCGTTTGCTTCGATCCATTCTCGTTTTTTATGAACTGAGGTCGACCTGTGATGTTCTTGAGGTCGACCTATGATGTTTTGCATTCCAAATGTTACGCGTTTGCTTCGATCCATTCTCGTTTTTTATGACCTGAGGTCGACCTACGATGTTCTTGAGGTCGACCTATTATATTTTTCACTCCAAATGTTACGCATTTACTTTGATCCATTCTCGTTTTTTTATGAACTGAGGTCGACCAATGATGTTTCTGAGGTCGACCTATTCAAGTTTTTGATCAACTGAGGTCGACCTGTGATGTTTCTGAGGTCGACCTATGACATTTTTGACGAGTCTTGGCCTTCTTCTTCGTCCAAGTTTGTGCTTGATTAACTGAGGTCGACCTATGATGTTTTTTACTCCAAATGTTTCGAGTCTTGGCCTTTTTCTTCGACCAAGTTTGTGCTTAATTAACTGAGGTCGACCTGTGATGTTATTGAGGTCGACCTATGTTGTTTTGCATGCCAAATGTTACGCGTTTGCGTCGATCCATTCTCATTTTTTATTAATTGAGGTTGACCTATTATGTTTTTTAGGTCGACCTATGATGTTTTGCACTCCAATTTTGGCCTTATTGGACCCATATTTGTGCTTGATTAACTGGGTTCGACCTATGGTGGTTATTAGGTCGACCTATTTATGTTTTTGTATCGTAGATTTATGTAAATGTTTGGGGTTATTGATTATGCTTGCAAACAGAGGTCGACTGATAATGTGTAGAGGTCGACCTATCGTTGTTCTGTTTTGTCTATGCATATAGTGTATAGGTCGACCAAGTCTTGTTCGTTTTGCCTAACGTGAATTGTCGTCTATTTGATTTCACGATATTTCGAGGGAAAAAGAAAAGAAAGTCAGACAAAGGAGCTACCTCAAATTCCGATTAGGATGACTTCAACCCCACTCTGTTTAAGATCAAAGAACAAAGTGACAAATATGAAGAGAGGAGAATGCACAACCGCAAGGTGTTCCTGGAAGGCCATTGATGACGGATGCGTATTCTCATTTCGAGAATTACGGGTTTCTAGCACCCTTTGTCGAACAAGAGTGGTTTTGATATCTCTGAATGCACTATACTACCCAAAAATGGTACAATACTTTTACAACAACATCACCTATCAATATAATGCAAATGAATCCATTCATGCATTTAAAAACTATGTGAATGGGTTGGAGATGCGCATAAGCAAGAATGTGTTGGCAGAAGTACTAGAGACTCCAAACCAGGGGAAGAGAATCAATTCTTACACTGCTTGGAATGAAACTCATTTCTCGAGAACCAAGCAAATCCAGACGGTATGTGGTCTTGCTGAAGAGGAAGATGCTCAGGATCGCAGTAGGCCAACGAGTAACCAGCTGACAGTTCAAACCAGAGTTCTTCACATCCTTTCCTACAACATTCTGCCAAAGGTTGGACATCGGGAGACAGTCACCTACTTCGATATGGAGCTCCTCGCCAACCTAGTGTTAGATGAGAAAGTGAACTAGTCATACTTGATCTTTAACCACATGCTTACTGCTGCAGAGAGTTCAAACAGAAATCTTCCCTATGGGATGATCCTGACTTTGCTATTAGATTTAAGTGGTGAGGTTGGCTTAAGAATCTTAAGGCATGAGTTCTATACAGTTTCATCTCTGAAAAAGATGGGTTTTGAGCTGCGTAATGGTGAGTATGTCCGAATAAACAATGCTCATAGTGTCCATGGTGGTGATGATGAGGATGAAGATGGTGATTCTTATGAAGGAGCCGGAGACGAGCAAATGTCGCAGACACAGAGTTCAACTCCACCGGTCACCTTAGAGCGTGTGTTGAAGCGCATGGATGGCATGTACGAATACATGGGCCATATGACTTACATGTACGACTACATGGGGCAAATAACCACCCAGATAAGCACACTGCAGATGACCGTGAATGAGATGCAAGATGAGTTTGGATTTTTCTAGGGGTGGGAAACGGTGCGGTTGCGGTTAACTGCAATCGTAAAGTGGCTATATTAGCCAACCGCAACCGCACTTGCCACGGTTAGCGGTTAACTGCTAACCGCAAAATGCGGTTAACGGTGCATCGCGGTTACCCACATCACCAACCGAGAGAAGATGTGGAGAGGATGGCGGTCGGCGGCGTGCGCTGCGCCTTTGAGCGTCGACGGCGAACACGAATCGAGCAGGGATGGCGGCGGTCGGCGGACGGATTTTTTGCTCTCTGCTATCTTGCCTCTGGGAATTGCTTGTTGCTGGAAGAGAAGGGACGATGCCGGAATGGATTTTCTGGTCTCTGGGATTTGTTGGACGTCGGACGAGAAGCCGAGAAGGGACGGTGGCAGAGAGGTTTCCGGACAACGAAGCTAGTTTGGAACACTCGCGCCGTCGAAGTCGCGATGGTAGGGAGGAACTAGGGTTTTCGTTCGATTTGGGAAAGGCGGAAAGGGAAAGCGATTCGCAGTTGGGGGGAGGGGGGAGTAGGGTGGTCGGTTGGGAAGGCCAGAAGGGGCTGGGTGCTTGGGTTGGGAGTGGATTTGGGCCTGGGGTATGGTATTTTGTTGGGCTGGTCTGGAAAATGAAATTGGTGGGCTGGGTTGCGGTTAGATGTGTTTACGGTTTCGGTTGCGGTTAAACCGCAAAACACTCAATATCTCCAACCGCGACCGCAAAAGAAGCTATTTTTGCGGTTTGCGGTTAACCACTAACCGCGCGGTTTCGGTGCGGTTAGCGGTTTAACCGCAACACCGCAATCGAATTCCCAGCCCTAGATTTTTCAGTGTAAGATACATGCATCCCACCACATCCGACTACCATAATGCTAGCAACAACAATGAAAAAATGTGGATGATGGAGAGAGGGGACAGGGGATAGGAACTCAATAATTTTAGATTGTATGTTTTTATTGCTAAGTGTTAAAAACGATTGTTGATTGTTATTCTGTGTAGGGCTGACATGTCGGTTTGCGGTTAGCGGATAACCGCCTAAGTGTTAAAAACGATTGTTGATTGTTATTCTGTGTAGGGCTGGCATTTCGGTTTGCGGTTAGCGGATAACCGCCGGTTATCAGCTAACCCAAAACCGACCTGTTACCTTGACGGTCGGTGGTCGGATGGGAAAAGGAAGGGGTCGGTTGATCGAGTAACCGACGGTAATTAACCGCGGTTATCCGACTAACCGGGCCAACCGAGACCCACTTCACCTTCCCCAAAATATGTCCAGATTCATCCCCAATTCCCTATTCCCACATCTTAAATAAATAAATAAAAAATTCTCAAATACAAAAAGAAGAAGAAGCAGATCTATAGCCAGAAGAAGAAGCAGATTATAGTAAAGGGGAAAATCTTGTAGAGGCGGTTGTAGCTCCCGGCGGCGTACCCGAGGACGTTGCCACGGCGAGGAAGAAGGAGAAGAAGGAATTGGCGACACGCCGACACGTCTTCTTCTGGCTGCTCCCAGACAAATCGGCGAGCAGGGCGCGGCAGGGGCCATGAGCACGTTGTTGGCGACGTCGAGGATCCAGAACCCGACGACGAAGACGGTGATGGTGCGAGGCTTGGCCGGGCGGGAGAGGTCGTTGCCAGCTGCGTGGCCGATGTCGGCGGTGATTCCGATGAGGATGAAGCCGCCGGCGATGAAGGGGCGGCGACGGCCGAAGCGGGAGGTGAGGAAGTCGTGTAGATCGGCGGTGACTGTGTTGGTGGGGACTGGGGAGGCGGCAGTGGTTGTCTAGGTTTTGTTGGGGGCGGAGGCTTTTAGGGAGAGAGAAGAGAATTGAGAGAGGTAGGGAGACAGAAGAAGAACTTCTTCTGAAAAGGAAGAAGAGAATTGAGAGAGAGTAGGGAGAGAGAAGAGAATTGAGAGAGGTTAGGTTAGGTTAGGTTTCTCTGGAAAAGGAAGAAGAAGAATCGAGAAGTGAGAGGGGAGTGACTAATGAGTGGTGCAGAATTTTCGGTTTTTTAATTTTTTTTTTTTTTAGAAAAGGTAATTTCCGGTTGGCCGGCTAACCAAGCCTAAAACCAAAACCGACTGGTCGGTTGGCCGGCTAATCGTGACCGCTTTCACGGTCGGTGGTCGGCAGGCATGCAGGGTGGCTCGGTTTAACCGATAACAAGGTTTTCGATTTACGATTAAACTGAAACCGACCCACTGCCACCCCTAATTTTGTGGTTTTATTTTTTAGTTATGTGTGAACAATTCTGATTTGTGTTTTATTGTATTTCTTGTTAATTTATACTTAAGCAAAAAAAAAACGCAGGGCATAGGTGGATTTACTTATATTCGAGCGACCTAGTACAGAATTGGGTTGACCGCGAAACCAACACGATCTTCATTTTACGTCAAATATGATGGATTCTGTAAATGGTCAACCATTTCATTAATAACCGCCATCAAGTGATTGACTTATATACCTTTACTATCGACCATGATGCATTGATGCTTCTAACGCTAACGAAAAAGGCGACCGAAATTTTATTGTGGTCGACCAAAAATAACAACTTAAACTACAAACAGTCAACCATATGATTTTTAGGTCAACCGTAATGAGTCCTCAAAGTATCCAAATTAGTCAATTCAATCGATCTCTTTTAGAATTAGATCAACCGAAATATCAATATTACTGTTATATGCATGTCACCATAGGCACATCCTATAAATATTTATGTTTACAAATTTTTGAGAAAAATGGTTTGAGGCACATCCTATAAATATTTATGTTTACAAATTTTTGAGAAAAATGGTTTCAAATCAAACTCCAGAACTTGTACTGAAGTTGATAAGCTATGTTAATTATCATCTACCGAACTCTATCAAGTCGAGCTCAAGCTAGATTTTTATTCAATCCAAGCACAAACTCAAGATGGATTATTAAAAATCGAAACTGAAAATTTTATAAACGAGTCAATGTCAAGCTAATAAAAACTCGACTCGGTTCTTCAACTCAATTTGTTTGCAGCCCTAGGTACCGTAATGGAGCTCTTTTATGTACAACTACAAATACAATCGAACAATAATGAGAACTCAGGATTTTCTTCCCAATCTTAATAATATTCAAGCTACAGAGAAAATCTTCGACCAACCAGTTCTGCACAATCTAAAAAGGGCTATGGTCCGAAGAATCATATCATCAGCCTGCTGCGTTGAACGGTGAGAAACGCTCCACCGCTAGACAGCAACGAGCTGATAAGTACCTCCGCATCATAGCAGAGTTCCAGACAATTCTAGTAATATCAGCCGTCTGCCCATTCTCATATACAGAACTAACAAAGTAGAAGACAAAAAAGAAATTTTCTTTGGTATGATCAATTAATCTGAAGAATGATATGTTCCCATCAGCATATAGCAAGAATAAATCTCAATCATGTATTTGTCAGCATTAGCATGGTACAAATTTTGAATCCATCATCGGGAACAACTCTTCTTCAGCACTAAACAATAACCAGCCAACTAAAGCTAAACCAAAGCACAAAACTTTCAATCTCGAAAAAACTTATCAGTCCCCTCAGAAAATCAATCATCCTCACAAAACCATCAAGGCTTTCAGAAATACATTAGCATAGGTTATTTAGATTTTGAATTCATCACAGGGGAACGAAGATAGGGTGAAAAACTTGTGATAAAGATGATAACTTTGCACGATTTCAATCAAAACCCAGAAAGCGAGAAAACTTGAAAGGAGAAAGAAGAAAAGAAAAGGGAAAGAATCCTCCGCCATGGGTGATGATAAAACCAGAGCTCAGACAAATGTTGGAAAACCGAGTTTCATTCCCGGACCACAAGAGGTCTCATAATGAGCTGGGTAAGTCGCATTTATCATCACAGCAAAACCTACAAGACAACTTCGAAAAAGAAAACGACGAAAGGTAAAAGGAAATCGGGCGGACGGAGAAATTCGTTGGCACACGCAGAGAACTGAGAAGGGTTTGATAGGCGAGAAAAGGAGGAACGAGGGGACTTTAAATGGCTGCTAGTTCGTCAATTAGGGTTTTAGGTGTTTGGCTACAGATGAAGCGCTTTATGAGCTGCTGATGAGCTTCTCCCAGTTTCTATTGGGCTGGAGCGTCCACGACTACCGGGTGATTCCTTTCAGGGGCCTCTTAGAGCCCAAATGCCTAGTTTGGTCATGGACTTGGGTCTTCGGATTGAAGCTCTTCTTAGCCTGAGCCCTACATTCTTTGTAGCAAATAATTGAGGGCAGATAAACGGTTAGTCAGTTATAATCGACTAACCGTTTATAATCGACTTGGATATTGATAATATTGTGATATGATAGTGTTATGATGTGCAGTTCGTAACTTTGTATAACCATAGTGGTAAGATCATGATATGACATAAATGATTATGATAATACTACAACAACAAATGTTTTTAAGAGAAATTTTTTGTCAAAACACGGCAAAATGAATATCAATGTGTAGATCTTAATTGATGCGCCATTCCTATGCAAAAAAAAAAAAAAAATTAAATTCTGAGTTAAAACAAAAGAGATATGACCCGATTAAAAAATTGGGTGATTAGAAAAAATAGCTTTTGACTGGTAAAAAAACGTCATCTCTTCTCCGAGTTTCGTGATAGGCTTTTCATCCGAACAAAAAACACAGAAATTACCATGACGCCTCTTCTGACTCCCTTCCTTATCAATGTACTTTTTTGGCCAATGGATAAGGCAAATCTGGACGGCCAAGGTTGAGGTTTTTAGGATTTTGTACCATATTCGCTCCCATTTTATTCAAATTGGTTTTTGGATCCATCAAAGTCATGACAAACGAATAAGCATAATAAGAAAAACACTTCTATTATGCTTTAAAGAATTGGTGCTTTAAGGTACTACGTGAAGTTGTGCCATAATGTTAAAGCTACAAGTTCAGGTACAACTCTCCAAATCGGCACCCTGGACAGAGATTTTAGGATTTAGGTTGCCAATTATGGCGCCCATTTGCCTCTAGTGACATGTGTCTCTCTAAGTTAGGTGAGTCACTACGTCAGTAGATTAACGGTCCTCTAGTGATCCTATCACTGGCTATCAAACTCCTCCCTATAGGATTCTATTTATAGACCTTCTATTAGGATTTTGTGTGAGAGGCATTCATCTTACGTGTTTTCGAGTCACAATTGTCCTTATCCAACTTGTCCACCATAAAAATTGGAGTCTAATTATGTCGTCTTAGTGGTATGGCGTATGATTCTGTTGCCATTTCTTACCTCTATTCCTTTCCTGCTTCTGGCTCCTAATAGTCGAGTCTTAATGTTCCCTAACACGTCCGAAGTGATCCACTAGGTTACTATGCTCCGAAAACACATGAAACACTACAAATAGTGCATCAAATCGATAAAAGCAAGCCAAAGTGCTACTAGAATGCACATTGAATGATCACGTAGCAAATCCAAGATATTATGATATTGAGTGACAATATGGTTTTCATGTCTGATGGTGTACTAGTAGACTTTACATTCAAGAATCTTGTGTCCATAAGTAAATCCAAGCAATATTTCATTTGATTAACAGAGATTCCTACATTGCTTCTTGCCATTCCAATCCAAGAAATTATTTGAGTTTACCTAGGTCTCCTACCTTGAACTCATGTGACAGAAAGTTTTAAGCTTCCTGTTTACACAATGTCATCATCATCATCAGATAGTTATAAGTCATCCGCACATACCAATATCAATGTAATTCCTTGAGTTGTCTTCTTGTGAACAATGAACAGTTTAGATATGATTGAACAAAGCCAAATCTTACTCAGGCTTCAGTAAGCTTAGCACACCGCTGCATGTTCGCTTGTTTAAGCCCATAAAGAGATTTATTAAGTCTATAACAAGGTTGTCAAACTGGATTTAGTCGTTAACCCGGTCAAGCAAGTGGTTTGAGGTTTAATGGTTTGATCGGGATTCAACATGTTTGAGCCGTTTTATACATTTTCTAATTATATATTCAAATAATTTAAAATTTTAATTACTCAATAAGAAGCATTCTAAATAAGTGAAGTATGTTCTTCGAATTTACTAGCAGCTGGCCTACATAGTATATAGGGAAAACTGAAGCCTTAGGACCAAAATGGCCTCTAACGGCCTTGTCCACTAATTATGCAACAAATGTTGTTGTTTTATTGATACAACAATAAATCTAATATGTGCAACTAATTAACACGACGCCATTTCGTCCATTCTCCTTCTCCAGCGTAGTGACAAATTGGCTCGGGTTTGATCCTGTCTCTGCGAGCCTTTTCTTCATCTTCTTGTTGCAGCAACTGGAGCTGTCTCTCATCTTCTTCATTCTTCTCATCTTTGATCATGGAGTTTGAAATAGAGGATATGAGAAAATGAAGGAGCAAGAAGGAAAGAATTAATACTCATTGGGTGCTCTACAACGGAAGAAAACAATGACTGACACCCCCCCCCCCCCCCCCAAATAATATAATATATTAATAATAAATTAATGAAACAGACATGACATATGATCAGAGAGCAGCCAAAGGAAGATATTATGGG